CGATGCTGTTAAAAATTCCTGGAAAAGGAGAGAAATCTAGAACACGTACATTTCTTTCCCTCTATTGTATCTGTTTATCACGGAAGTGAGTCAATTTCTTTTGCAGTAAATAATCTATCTTTGAATTAGCCAAGCCAGCATCACCATTGTGCTCTGCTGGATAAGTGCTTTATTGATCCATGAATTTACCATTTATTAACTGAGAATTCAGATATCAGGATTCTCAATGAGTCCTCAGCATCACATTACAAATAATTATTGTTTTTGCAAAGTATGGACTTTGTCTGCATTCTCTTTGAGAGGACAAACTGGGATTTCATATGGAGGTAAATATGATAAAGCTATTGATTGCTTTTGTGTTAAAGATTAGAGAAGAGACGGGTGCTTCCCTAGGGCATTATGTCTATGTCAGATGACTGATTGCTAGAAAGAATGAGGATATTTCTGGTGGTGGGAGCTAGCACCAGGCATTTTTGTGGAGTACACATGCTTATGTGTGTAATTATTTTAGATAATGCATTTTTGTTAGTTAAATTTTTTTCTCATTATTAAAAGTAATATATAGTTATTATAAAAGTTTGGAAATTACAGAAAATGAAAAATCTAAATTATTCAAAATCTTATTACCCGGATATAGTACCTGATGTTTATATACTTTTTTTTGTCTTGAATAATCTGCTTTAGAAAAATTTGTGTATCTCATTAGAATTAGGTTTAAAGAAAATGGACTATCTCTTATTTATAAGTGCAAGAAGAAGGGAAATTGACACAAATAATCCATGACAGTAGCCAAATAAAAAGTAGTATTGCATTTTTGCTTATCCAGACCTTTCTCACATCCCCCTCTCCCCCCAAAGTCTTCTTTCCCATTTTCCTCCCCTTTCCTACTTTCCTTTAAGGAAGATTCACCTTTTAATGACGTTATGCCCCTAGTATTTCTCACACTAGTTCACCAGTCTCTCCTCTCGCAGCGAAATATGAGCATGTTTCTCAAGAGATCTGGACACAGTCTGAAAGTGTCGGCCATAAGTCTAAGTTTTTTTGCATTCTCCTGATTTATCTTAAAGGTTCATATGAATTTTTCTTTATAACTTCTTTGCATTTACTGCATTATCAAATATCATGTTAAATGTGTTACCTCTGAGTAAAATTTTTTAAGAAGCTGTGCCACATTTATTAGGTGACTTTAAACCTCTCTGGCATATGATCGCATCCCCTAGTGGTACACGTTACTCTATTTTGAGAAACCTAGATTCTTTAGATGAGTTCATATTTTCTAAAAATATGTTACTAAACAAAATATGTATGCTAGATTTTTAGTGATTCTCAGTGGAGAGATATGGGACACACCTTTCTAGAGGGAAAATGTCAGAATCATTTAAAAGGTTTTTTCAGATTTTGCTCTGCCCCCTTTTCAGTTTGAGAATTACCACCATTGTGAGTTCCTGTTCTGATTAAAAAGTGTTTGATTGAAAAATGTTTTATTCCTCAATTGTATTGAGTAAAAAAAAAAAAAAGATAAGGACCACCAGTTTTCTCTATATATACAAATATGTACACGTGTGTGTGTGTATGTGTGTGTGTATGATTTACAAGGTGACTAGTTTATATTGTTCTCAAATCTATTTAAATGAAAATTGAATTCGAGTTTTTTGATTTATTTAAGCCAAATGTGGTATAATGAATCCAGTTACCCATCCCTATGCCTGCTCCAGAAAGAGTTCTCGACTTGTCCTGTTTCTGTAATGTGTCAAAGATTAGAATTTAGAGCCATGCTAGTCCTGCAGTAGAAACTTATTTTGTTCTTTAAAGTATCTACAAAGCTCTAGCTAGTCTGACTTTTCAGTGCCTCAGTGCTTTTTAGCTTTCCTTCTGTTTGTTTTGTTTTGTGCCCTCCATCCTTCTGTCTCCTGCTTTTGGGCTCTAGTGATCACAATCATAGTAACAAACTTTCTTACTTGAGGCCCAATGGCATATGCTACATTTTCTAAGACATACAATACTATGATAATTATAAGAAGGTAGGTAATTCCATGATAAAAGGACACCTGGCATAAAAACTGTTTAGGATCATCCTTATTGCAGCCCAGTTCAGGAACAGCGTTTAGCAGTAGCTGTCTGAGTGCTCATAGTGCAAGGCAGTTGCTGCCTCATTGGCAGGGACTCTACCTTTCAGGAAGCACACATCTTGCTCTGTGAGAACCTCGATTTCTTGAGTCAGGAGAGAGATCTAAGGTCTGCCACTTCAATTCTTATATGCTGAGACTCAATCTATCTTTCTCCGCTGTGTTTTCAGTAGTCCTCTATCTCTAACAGTTTGGGGAAGTCTAAGCTATAACTTAGGTAACTTAACATCAACAAAAATATAACCAAGATGAAGATTCTCAGGTTTTACAACTGTGTCTTTTCCAATACCTTTTATGTTTCTAGTTTCCTTTTCTACATTTATAATTTTTTCTTTGGGACTTAAAGATAGTGTCATGTGAATCAGTAAATATTATTACAAAGAAACATTTATTCTTGAAATGTTTTAGAGTAATTATTTAAGGATTCTGTACTCAGAATTTCAACATGGGTTGGTTTTTTTGAGGCCCAACTGGATGTCCTACAATTCAAATTGATTCTGACATGATCTACCTGGAGACAGTGAGCATGAGATTCCTCAGGTTAAGGATTCAGCCCCACATCCTCTACTTCAGTTGCCAATCACAAGTCCTGGTTGTCAATTGTACTTCTGATTGACTGGATATAAATAAGAGGTTCCCACAGTACCCTGCTTGGGTTTGATTAATTTGCTAGAACAGCTCATAGAACTCGGAAAACCAGTTTTCTCACTAGATTACTGTTTATTACAAAGGGTGTAACTCAGAAACACCAGATGGAAGAGATGCGTAGGGCAAAGTATAGGGAAAGGGCGTAGAACTTCCATGCCCTCTTTGAGGGAACCACTCTTATCAACTCCACCGTGTGTTCACCAACTCAGAAGCCCTCGAAACCCTGTCAGTTTGGGTTTTTATAGAGGCTTCATTATATAGGCTTGATTATTGACCATTGGTGATTGATGCAAACTCTAGCCACCTATCCCCTCCCCTAGAGGCCCAAGAGATGGGACTGAAAGTTACAACCCTCTATTCACAGAGTTGGTTCTTCCAGGGATCAGCCCTCATCCTTAGGTACTTTCCAAAATCACCTCATTAACATAAACCTAGTTGTGGTGGGAAGGGGCTTCTTATAAATAACAAGACACCCATGTCACTTTTATGGCTCTGAAGTCATTCTAGGAACTGAGGACTAAAGACCAAATATTAGAACAAAAGATGCTCCCATTGCTCTTATCTCTCAGGAAATTCCAAGGGTTTGGGGAGCTGTAAGCCAGGAACCCTGAAGATATATATATGTATATCTTATAGATCACAATATTTCACTCTTATATATAAGGCATTGTGTTAGATACAGTGATAAGCAAGATCAGATATATACCAGCCTCTTGGAGCTTACTGTCTGGGTGAAAGAGAGAAATCAATCAAATAATCAGAAATAACTATAAATTTACAATCAATAGTGTTTGGCTCAATCTTCTTATTGAGACAATGTCTTCACTTGGCATCTAGAACACCAAATACTTGGTTTTCCCACTTCACTGGTTTTTTTTGCTGAGTCCTTTTTTTCTTTCCATCTAAATGTTGGCGTGCCCTAGGCCTTAGCCCTTGGGCCTCTTTGCTACCTACTCTTACATGATCATCCAATCTTAACTTTAAATGATACCTATTAATATCTATATGCTGATGACTATCAAATTTGTATTCTCTATTCCTCCCTAAACTCCATAAAAATTTCAATATCCCAATCCTCAAACCCACTGCTTTTCATCTCAGTAAATGGTACCACCATTTACCCAGTGGCTCAGGACAGAAATCTAAATTATTCTTTATTCTTTTTTTATTCTCACAGCTTTCATCTAATCCATCGGTAAACTCTGTTGGCTCTACAAATTATATCCAAATCCTGTCACTTCTTATCACCTCCACTGTTACCATGCTGGTTCAGCATCAGTAGCCTCCAACTGGTCATCTGTTCCTAGCACCCGCATCTCCATCCCTGTTCATGGCCTCTGTTCTCCACTTGAAAGTCAGAGTAATCTTTTTAAAGCCTAAAACAAACCTTCACAAAATCTTCCAGTGAGGAAGTGCTGATTTCAGGTCTGGAGTGGGAAATGTATAAGATGAATGTCTGAGGATAGGATACTAACAGAGTAAGAGAAATGATGAAGAGAGAATGAAGCCATAATCATAAAACTAAAAATGGCGTGTACTGTCAGGCACAGTAAAGGGAGGTCTTTGTGAGATCTTCTTCAAGATCACGTCATACTTTTGGAATTTAAAGACAAAAATAAATGCATATAAATGCATAATTTATATTATGCATAATTTCATAATGCATAATATGAAATTATTATCTGATTTATATTATGCATAATTTCAGTTATTTTTGTTTTTAAACAACACAGAGTTAAAAAACTTTCCAAATCTACAAAAAAATTGGAGGAAAGCACAAAGAACTTTTGTATACCCCTTAACCTAGACATACCCACTGTTAACACTGGTCACCTATTTAAGTTGAAGCATATAAAAATGCCCCTTTTTGACAAAAAGGATCACATAGATGGTTGAAACTTAATAAACACATGCATACAACACACATTTTCTATTGCCACATCATCTGAAAGTAGGATTTAGATGTGACGCTTTATTACGTAGTTTCCAAGAACAAAGACATTGTACTACAGAACTACAAACCGATGCCTCAACTGAGAAAAATCAGGTTAATATCATCATTCACGTATAGTCCATATTCAGATTTCCTTATGTATATCATCAAGTTGTTTATTTTTTTTGATTATACTACAAAATTAATTTATGAATCTGGGGTGCTTTCTCTTATAAAATAAAGTGACTGTGTTTACTGTTGGCTCACTCTAGTTTTTTTTCTTTGTGGTTTAGCTTCTTACATCTGTGTTTGACAACAGCATCAAAACCTTTGGAGTAATTGAGAGTGACCCTTTTGACTGGGAGAAGACTGGAACTGATGGCTCCCTAACAACCACCACTACTTCTACCACCCCTCAACTGCATACCCGCTTAACCCCTGCGGCAATCGGGTATGTCTTAAACAGCTCATTTAGCAGTCTTTCCTGGATGCGTTATATTAGCAGAAATTATTTCATCCAGATTCCCTCAGATTACCAAATGCTAAGACATAGGGAAAAGCCTATGGATTTCTTGAATTAATATTGCTCATGTATATGCCTTTGTTCAGATTTACTTTTCTTAAAAAGTATTTGTAGAACATATTGTGAAACAGGAGCTTAGAGCTTGTGTGACTTGATGTCAAATTTACAATAGGTTTTTTTCAAAATGAGAAGGGGCATTTGTTACATTTACTTCTAAAGAATATTTGGGACTCTGGAAAGAATGAGCCACAATTACATGTAACTATACTGTGCTTAAGTTTATTGGAAACAGGTTATGGTGTATTTCCATATTATTCTTGGTTTTTTGTTTTTAATATTTTCTCTACATGCATTTAATGCAATTGCTTTAGTTTTTTAAAATTTTTTTTTTGTGGGGGAGTGGGGGGTGTTTTTTTTTTCCAACCCATTTTTACCTGGTCTGGTTGCTTTAAACTGGTGTTTAAAAAAGTCAATAGGAAAAAATCCTCAGAAAACGTGAGCTAATTGGGACATTTTATCACTAATCCATTGCTTTGATTTTATATTGAAAGATGGGGTCACTAGAGCTTACTGAATCAGAAAAGCTCACCATGGACTCATATAACTAGACATGTTATCCTCGATTAGCTTGTCTAAGAGTTCTTAGATGTGGGACCCTGACTAGCTACATCAGAATCAATATAGACGTTTATTTAAAATATCTATTTGTAGGACTTTCCCCAGACTTACTGAATCAGAATCTAGGGATGTGGCACAGAGGTCCATATGTAAAAAATGTTTCTCATGCTTATCTGAGTTTGGGACCCATTGCTCTAGTCCAGCTACCCCATTTTACAAATAAGGAATAACCCTAGCGCTGAGTGAATCATCTGATTTTAGATAAATATTAGTCACAGAGCTTGAGCCCTTCTCGAAATTTTGATTCTTGTTTTAGTGCTTTTGTCCTCCTCCTCTGATTGTTGTTAGTAGATAAACCTCAAAATTACAAATCAGGTGATCGGACTTCAAGATAGCTAAAGTCAATGAAGATAGTATAAGTTCCTATCTTCCAATGTTTCCTCCTAAAATAAGACAGAATAACAGGAAAGGAAAAATAAAACTACACCAAAACCATGTCCTCAAAACAAAGGATCTCCAAACTTCAAAAGAACTAAGTAAAAAGAGAAAAACACCAAGTCCTTTTGTGGTATCTCTTATGGTCCTGTCTCACCCAACCCTACCACAAGGCTTTATAAAGGCAGATCAGTAAAAACTATAAGGTAGAGGAGAATTGGCAGTGGGGCTTAAGGTTCATCTAAAACCAACACCAGAAAGACTAAACGCATCCTAAGAACAAAGGTACTAAAAAATATCCAAGTAGATCAGATCATGAACTACAGGGAGGTAAAAATATGTATGATTCAAAACACACAGCTTCTGGGGAAGAAAAAAGACAAAAAAAGGAAGAAGTGGCCCTTTGTCAGTTGAGTGGTAAAGGACAAAACATCTATTTGGGTTCAATCAGTAGAGAGAAACTACACAGTAATTTGAACAGGGAAAGATGATACAAAGAATTATTACCTGTAACATGGAATTGGAATAGCATGGGATTGACTGGTAAGAAGTTGAAACAACTGTAAAGAATACAGGAATAGCAAAAATAAAGTGTAGCTGATATTAAGCATCCAAGCAAAGAGCTCCCCCAGCCCTGACCCCAGGGCTGACATCCTGACCTTGTTGAAGAGGGTGTGTTCATCCTTCATTGGATGGCAGGAAGTTGCTCTGATGCCACACTGGTAGAATTTGCTAAAAAGCTGTTATCTGGAACTTGCTTGAAATCTGCCCTCTAGGGTGCCAGAGAAAGCTATTTATTGGGGTTATCTCACCAGGCACACTGCTAAAAACTTCCTTCCTTCCTTCCTTCCTTCCTTCCTTCCTTCCTTCCTTCCTTCCTTCCTTCCTTCCTTTCTTCCTTCCTTCCTTCCTTCCTTCCTTCCTTCCTCT